AATTGGGGATCAATTTTTTACATTTACATTTAAGTAAAAAGTCAAGATGATTCAGGAATTTTTGTCGTTTCAGGCATAATTTAGTGAAACGATTAACGGATGAAGGCATGATAAACAATGCAGAAAATCAAACTAAATTAACTGAGCAATAATAAAGTACACACAAAATAGCAGAAAAATCCCTCACTGAAATGAATAGAAAAAAAAATGTTTGTAAGCAAAATGCATGAAATCAGACAAGCAAAGCACAATATTCAAATGTACAAAACATAAACATAACTTGAAAATTGCAAAAATGTACTCACCGAAACTCCTACAATCACAAAATGGCTGCCACACCACGTGCAAAAAAGAAAGCAAAAACAATTGTCCAAAATTGAACATGAACTCTATAAGCTTCATCTGGAACTCGCTAAAACATATCCAAAATTCACTGCCCTTGAACAAAAGTCTTGGTCTAGAACGGAGAATGCAGTTAACCGTCATAAAAACACCCTTGCAGTTAAATTCGAAAAACTTCTTTTACAGTCTTCCAGTTCAAGTAGTTCAAAAAATTTTCCCATTGTAAACATCAAGCCAATAGTTAATATTTCTAATGTTAGTCTTTCAGAAGAACAAGAGAGAATTCTAAAATATAATTTTAACTTCTCACAAACCTGTAAACCCTCGATTCCAAAGATTTTGGCTCCTATCGAAAAAGCTTTCAAGTTCAATAAAGTTTCAGATTCACAGAAAGAAATGATTAGGCATCTTATCGCTCATAATGTGAAATTCAATAATAAACCTTTGAAACCAAATCTAACTGCGAGAGAAAGAGCTACAATGTGCGAGATTCATTCTAACCCGGATATTGTCATTTCAAAGGCCGACAAAGGTGGCCAGATAGTCGTCATGGATAAGAATACTTACATCGATGGTGTCACTAAACTCTTAAACGAAGGACCATATAATCCGATCCCTAAAGATCCTTCACCTTCGGACTTATCCAAAATAAAAACTGCGATCAAATCTTCGCAAATCATTTCAAGCAACTTAAAACATTCGCTTATCCCATCTGTTGCGAATTGTGCCAGATTATATGCTCTTCCCAAAATTCATAAAAGTGGTATCCCTTTCCGCCCTATTGTATCAAATTTAGGTACTGCCTCGTATCCATTAGCTAAATATTTAGTTTCTAGATTTTCCACTCTATTAGACAATAACATTTACACCATAAAAATTCAATAGAGTTTGTAAAAGAGGTTAAAAACATTTTCTCCTCGTAATTTACTCATGGTTTCTTTTGATGTAAAATCATTATTCACCAATGTCCCAGTGGAGGGTGCATTAAGATGTCTAGAAACCAGACTTCGCGAATTTCATTTCTCTTGCATCGAAATTGATGAGCTAATTTCTCTCACTCAACTCTGTTTGAAACAAACACATTTTGTTTTCCAAAATAAATATTACAAGCAAACTGAGGGATTAGCCATGGGAAGCCCCCTCAGTCCCATCCTGGCTGATATCTACATGCATTATTATGAATCAAAATTGTTTGAAACTTTAAACTTCCCGGCATGGTTCCGCTACGTAGACGATACTTTTACCCTGTTTGAAGGTAATAAAGATGATTTAAAAAGAGTTCTTTCAACAATGAATTCTATTGATCCTGCTATTCAGTTCACTTTTGAACTTGAGACTTGCAATTCTCTTCCGTTTCTCGACATTCTGGTCACACGTAACACATCCAACTTCAGTACTACAGTTTACCGTAAACCTTCATCGGTTTGCCTTCCACCACACTTTAAATCATGTCATCCGACTAAACAAAAGTTAGCTTCATTTTATTCCTATGTTTTCCGTGCTCTTCAAGTTTGCTCCTCCAAACTAGCCCTTGATGAAGAACTAAATTATTTAAAAGCAATAGCTATTGACAGGGGCTTTTCACCCAACATTATTAATCAAGCAGTTAAAAAAAAATTCTCATCTCAACACACTAAAAGCCACACTCTTATTTTAGGAGATTATAAAAATTCTGTTGTCATTCCCTTCTTTCCATCAATTAGCTATAAAGTTGCACATATTTTGCAGAAATTTAACTTTCGGGTTGTTTACTCTCCCCATCAATAAAATTCCAACTTCTATACTCAAGGACCCCATTCCGGATATGAATTCCTGGGGTATTTATAGGATTCCTTGCCAGTGCGGTTTAATTTACATTGGCCAAACTAAGAGAGCCTTAAAATTTCGCGTCAAAGAACATGAGGCATATGTTAGAAAAAGGAAACACAGAAGTCTTCTGTTGCTCAACATTGTTGGTCCGAAAATCACACTTTCAATTTTTCTGCTGCCAAAATTATTCAAAAAACATCTTCCATTGGAGAACTGGATTTTCTAGAGGCATTTCACATTCATAAAAATCTTTCTGTTCTAGTTAACGATCCTAATTTCAATCCAAATTTGCCTTCGGCTTTTAGAGAAATTATGTTTTAGTTCTGGTTTCGCCAACAGATGGCGCCACTTGCTTATTCTTGTCCAGGCTTTCTTATCTTATCTAAACATTATTTCCTATCTTGTTCATTTGCGGTTTTGCAGCTGAAGATGATGGTTCGGTAAAACCATCGAAACTAGTCCTGTGAAAATTTTGTGAATTAACGCTGACTTTTGTTGTTTGACTTCTGAATCAGTATTTATTCGGCGTGTTATTGTGTCTTAATAAATCTATTATTAACGATGATTTAAGCATATATTTTACAAGTGAATTTAGTTTGCTTATCGTGGAATAGTCAAAAAGCTGATGCACAGATTAAATACAGTGTCTCATAAAAGTGATGGGACACTTGTGCTTTACAAAAGGAAACTGCAATAAAATAAATTAAAAAAATATGTAAAATTTTTTGTGGGTGTTTCATACTTAAATTTAGTAACAATTATTACATAACATACATTTTCTCAAAATATTAAAATATTAATTTAATAAAAATACAATTGTTTAGAACGGAGCAAGAAAATGGCTCACTTAAGTGATGGGATACTCACGTAAGTGATGGGGCATTTACTTTTCCATCAAATATTTATCCAAAAAATTTTACTTTTTAAAAGGTTTTAATATTTTGTTGGATTTCCTTTTACTTTTAAAACATGATTTAATCTTCTTGGGATGGATTTCGACTTATTTTTTTTTTTTTTTTTTTTTTTTTTTGTGATTTCTGGAGTGATTTTACCCCATTCTTCTTGAAGCACCGATTTTAATTGTTGTTTTGAAGAAGAAATGGTGTGTTTGCGAATTCTTGATTCCAATTCTTGCCAAATATTCTCTATGGGATTTAATTGTGAAGATTGGGGGGGGGGGTTTTTATTATTTCAGGACAGTTATACAGCAGCCAGAGTCTAACGTTCAAAGCACTGTGCTTGGGGTCATTGTCCTGGTAGAATTTAAAATCGTTATGAAGGTTCAATTTTCGTGCTGAAGATTTCAAAATTTTGATTTAAAATGTCAATATACTTGTCCTATTCATTGACTGTCAATAAAATCATAAATATAAACATAAATAAATGTCAATAAAAACTGTCAATAAAGATTACCAACTCCAGCGGACGACATACACCCCCATACCATAACTCCTCCTCTACCATGTTTTACTGTTGGCACCAAGTTCTGTTTGCGAAATTCTTTCCCTGGGTTTTCTGGGTTCCACACCAAGATTCTACCGTCAGAACCAAATATATTAAATTTACTCTCATCAAGCAAAATATAACTTCATTCCAGTAATCAGAATTCTTATTTATGTTGGATTTTGCGAAAGCCAGTCTGAGTTTTCTCTTCTTTTCACTCACGAAGAATTTTTTCCTGGCTGCTCTACCGTGATATCCAGTAGATCGAATTACTCTTCTAATAGTCTCAGGATTAACAATTACTCCATATAATGCTTGTAAATCAGAGCAGCAACTTATAGGAGCACTCATTCTTGGAGTTTTTTTTTAAATATTTCCGAATGATAATTCGCTTTATTCCATTGGATAGCTTTGGTGGTTGGCCAGGTCTTCTTTTATCCTGAATCATATGATTCTTTTTTATATCGTTTAATGATATTGAAAACTGTTGAATGACTGAATTAACTGTTTCAGTAGTTTCTCTAATAGATTTTCCACGTTCAGTATGCAAATTAATAACTAATGTTCGAATTCCAGGCAAAGTTTCTTTTCATTTAGCATTCATGGCTGCACAGAGCTAAAAAACACAAAAATTCCAAAACAAACTGGACAGAAATACTGCAGACGGTTTTATAAATTATTGACAATTGCTTTTGAGTAAAAATAAATACCCTAAAAGATATTTTTATTGCTTACTTCAGACGATTTTTGTTGCATAGTACGTAGTGTCCCATCACTTAAGTGAGCCATTTTCTGCTCCGTTCTAAACAATTGTATTTTTATTAAATTAATATTTTAATATTTTGAGAAAATATATGTTATGTAATAATTTTTACTAAATTTAAGTATGAAACGCACCCACAAAAAATTTTACATATTTTTTTAATTTATTTTATTGCAGTTTCCTTTTGTAAAGCACAGGTGTCCCATCACTTTTTTGAGACACTGTAGAAAGAAATTTAGTAAACAGGGTAGTTTATTTTTAAGAATTTAGAAATATTACTAATGCCATTCATAATATCAAAAAGGTAATAAGCATTGCGTTCCATCCTTATTACTCTGTTTCCATCAGCGTATATCGTGGAGCATGCCTGAATTTTATAATCCTGTATCAGCTAAAGCCATGTTTTTGTTTAAGAACAGGACTCTGCAGGATGTAAAATGAAAGCACAAACTTATTTCACAATATTATTAGATAAAATTAATACTACTCTTCAAAAACTTATTTTTTTAACTGTTTCTATCAGCCCTTTTTTTTTATTCAGTTCAATCCAAGACGGAACTCGCCAAGATATTTACTATCTTTGTTTGCATGGAAACCCTGAGCACTTTCAATTTGACTGGCGCTATCAATTATTCAAAAGTGATCAAATAGTATTGCCATTCAGTATCTGACACATAAAGCGATAAGAATTCGCAATAAAAGCCCCTTCTAATTTAACTTGTCACTCCAAAACCTCTAGATATGATTGCCAACATAATTTTTTCTTGTCTCCTGTTGTTGTTAGGTGGCGTCTGGACAGGTGAGAAATATATTTTTATATAACGTTCATAATTGTTTCAGAAATTTCAGTCACTAGAAATTATTGGATAGCTACAAAGACGATTAAACGAAAATATTAAATGTAAAATATTGAATTTAAGGGAAACCTAATTTCATTGACATAATATAAGCTTGTTCGGTGATAAAAGCGAAAGACCTGAGTTTTAACATGTTTGCAAATGCCACTAGAAATTAATGAATCTACGCATTTAAATTACACCTTGCTATGATTTTAATATATTTACATTAAGTTTGAACTGACTGAAGGCAAACATTTTAATTGTAGATTTCTGGCAAAAAATGTTAGATTATTCTGTCTTGTGTAAGTTTTCTTCTCTTATTAAGGTTACGCTAATTAATATCAAATTTAACTATTTAATCAAAGAATGATAGAAACGTTTATAAGGTTTTTCTCCCGCCTTCCTAGCACTTTGTGTGGGAGTAGTTCTGCACGCTGAGCCGGTATTCTAGAGGTCCGTGGTTCGATTCCCGGCGAAGGCGAATGCTCCTTTTTCATTTCTCCGGCTTTTTCAATTAACCTAATGTCTCTACTCGTTACATATTATAAGGTATTTCTCTCGACTTGTTAGCGCGCCTACCTGGTGTAGTGGTCTGCAAGCTGGGTGCGTATTCTAGAGGTGCATGGTTCGATTCCCGAGAAGGTGTTGCTCATTTTTCATCTCTACGGTTTCGAAATAACGTAATATCTCTAAGAAAATACTCTTATGTAGTCACACTCAGTTCCGCCAATCAAAGCATGCAGATGTTCTAAACAAAACATTAAGCATTCATTAGAAACATTTCTGCTTGCGAGTACAGCTTAAGAATAGAAATTCTCCAATAAATAAATGAAACAGGAAGTGTCAATTACATACAAAAATTGTTCAAAATTACGTATAATAAGAGCAAAGCGTTATAAGTTAACCCATATTTGCGACTGAATAAGTTTAAAAAAAAAAAAAAAAAAAAAAAAAAACCTCAAAAGGGGTTTAAATTTTAACTGTCGTCCAAATATGTTTGTTAAGGTTTTTTTTTTTTTTTTTTCTCTCTTGCTGAGCTCGCAGTCTACCATTCTGCTGGTACACTCACTCCTACTAAGCCGCCCTTTTTTTAATCTTTTCGGCGCTTTATAATTAAGCATCGTTTTCTTCGCACTTACGCCATATATAGTTCAACAGCAAAATTACAAAAATTTTAAAAGCAGCAAAGCAGCATATGTTTAGAATTCCCCATGTAGCGTTAAGTGTTGGCATACAATTTTCCATTTTTTTTTTTTTTTTTTTTTTTTTTTTTTTTTTTCAGTTCATCATATCAATGTTCAGTTTTCTTACAAAGAGGGCTTAACAAAACTTTTTGTCTTTTTATTATTAACGTTTTGTGTGATTACTTTATTTATTATTCAAAATGTGATGGGTCTAGATAGCGTTGTTTTTCTCAATGCTATAGGCGTGCATACATTCAAGCAGATTCTTCCTTATTTAAATTCTTTAAATATAATTCAGGGAGATAATATTTGGTTATTTAATTTTTTTAAATATAATACAGTGCGATAATATTTGGAGGCAAGAATCTGAAAAGTGATATATTGTTTCGACGCAAAATGCCGTTTCTAGACTAATATCCCATTCGAAGTTAACGTCGCTTTTGGGCTAAAAATCGGTAGTCTTTTGAGATTTTGAACATTTTGATCTATTTCAAAAATAAATAAGAATGAATCTTAAAAATTAATATCAGTTTCTTAATGGGCTTAAATATTAAGGGGATTATATTTCTTTTAATCTTGTAACTGAAACAAAAGAGGAACTCAGAAGCAAAACGGGGTAACGCACAAAATTATTCAACTTAGATTTTCACTTTCAATAGACTGTTATTTAAGTTAATCTTTTATTTAAGTTTTAATTACACTAGTGATTTACGTCGTCCAGATAGTATAGTGGTTAGGGGAGCCTACTACGGTACCGAAGGACCCGGATTCGAATCACGGAGTAGTGTCGGTGCGTCATGGCGGCACTCTAAATATGCGACGAGCCAAAAGTCCTGTCGTGTGGATTGGTGGGAGTGGAGAGGGGTGGGAGACCTCGGATACACCCCCCGGAGTGCTCTTCCTCAAAATTGGGGGTAGAAAATAGAAGTCCAACCTCTCTTCAGAGCAGGCTTTGGCAACCATTGTTTCATGTTATATGGACAAGACAACAACTAGTGAGTTATATAATTTTGTTTCAGAATTAGTCAAATTTTCTTAGACGTTCAAAATTTCCTTTTGTAATCAAATTGCATTGTTATTCGTAGTTTTATTAGGAAGTAATCTGAAAATAAAACACGTCAATTTACAATTGAAATTTTTTGCCTTAAAAGCTAATGAAATTTTTGCGGCTATCTAATTCATGAACTACACGTTTTTCAATTTTAAAAGATATAACGAAAATAAAATTTTCGACTGATATATTTTTAACACTTAGAAAACTTATTAAAACTTTCATTATTAGTATTTTTTTATACTAGAAACTCCCTCGAATGTCTAAATGTTTAGCGAACACTTTGCAAATTAGTAATGCGACCGGTACATCGTTGTATTTAATGTTCGCTATTTCTGTACCATTTTTTTTTTTTTTTTTTTTTTAATATTTAAAAATACCACCTGAAGAATTATTTGCTTGTATCAAAGTTGTCGTAAAAAAGTAAGAAAATTCGATTGCACTTTAAATTTTTCTCTTTTATTAAGTATTGTAGCAGCATGATAGATTACAATTATTTGTTATTAAAAACCAATGTATAAAATTGATGGCAGATTTTAATATTGCAATATGATTTTTTTAAAAAAATATTATAACTATTAAACAGTGAAGTAGGTACTTAACTGACATTTCTGTGAAACAAATACGGGAGAACGGAATGGCACGAATGGGACAACAGTTAATCATAACAAAAAAGAAGACATAAAACATCTTATGACATAACAATATTATGAAAACATGAACGTTAAGCAACGTTCTTGGTGATGAGACGGGCAAAAGACGTAACGGGTCGGGTCGTTCAAGATGAATAATTCAAATCTGCAGTCATTGGAAAAAAGTAACATTATGAATATTTCTCTGATAAAGTTATTTTACCTAGCAAATGCCAGACTTTCAACAGTGTATTATTAAACTTCTCACGTGCCATCTCACAACTGGCATAGCTTTTAGCGACTCAGTTCTTAACATAAATTTTTCCTTTGACCACAAACTAGTCACAGCAATAAAATGTTTCAGTACTTTCTAAAAAATAAACTATGTACTGCAGGGATTCTTAAACTTTTCACGTTTTGTACCACAAAAAATACGAAACAAAAATATATGTACTCCGATAGAAAGCATTTCGCCATTAAAAATCAATGCATCCTAAATGGAGTGTATATAATCAAAGAATAAAACCTTTTACATTTTTTGATTATATTCGTAAATGAAAGTTTTACATTACAATAAAATACAAATAAGCATACTAAGAGTATATATATACATATATATATATAGGTAAAATATAAAAATTTAGCTTTCAAATAATAAATTAATAGCCCTTTAACTTCCATTTCATTCTAAAAATAACAGCAATAATTTTTTCTCCCTGCATTTCTGAGGCGCACTTACCGATGAAATCTGAACCCAAAATCCTGTACATTAAACTGCCATGTGATCTGAAATGAATTTGGTGTAAAAACGGTAATTACGCCTATGGTTTAAAGATTATTTACTGGTAAGAGCTCTTAGTAGCTGAAGTCAGAAGTATAGAAATGATCCAAGATCCGACTCTCTCTTTTTCTCTTCCCTCGTCTCTTCTACTACTTTCCGCTGTGTTCGCTAACCAAGCAAAGTTTACTTTTCTAAATTTGTCCATTGTTTAAAATGCGAGCTGTAGAAAATTGAGAGGTGCATTATCCAAAAATAAAATTATGTGCGGAATTTACCGTTATGTGTGTTCTTCGAGTGTCATCTTGCTAATTACGCAGCAAAGTCTTCAAGTTATGATACAGTTCTCTCCAACGTCAGCCCGTTTCAACTCTCACCAAGTCATCTTATTTCAATAATAACGCAGTTTTATCACAATAATTGAGAAGTTTTATTACATGTATATATAAAAATTGTGGTAAATAATGAGTAATAATACATATATTAAGCAAATAATATAGTTGTACAAAAAACAAAGAAGAAACCTGAATCACATGAACAACATTGGCAAGATGCGTTTAAAAATATATATATATACATTCTGTCTTTTTGACATTTTAGATATTACAGGTTTAAAAAATTGGTGAATGTTGTGAAATTTAGTCAATTTAACTGAAGCACGTTATTAAACGTACTTGCCAACTTTTGTGGTTAAGGTGTAAAATAAATTATTAAAATAAGCCAAAAACATAAAATGCAATAGCGCACCTTAATAGTGTTATTTGACTATAACACTACTCGTATTATTAACAAGCATAATCAATCTAATCCTAAACGAAGCAAAAGAATAGAATTATAATTATATGAAACGCTGTCAAATAGACAAACTAAATGTCGAACACATGTCAAATTTAAGATGAGTGTTTATTCTTGTGACTGTATACTAAACCTTCATTGCCATTAGTTAAAAAAAAATGTTAGGTATTATGGTTGCTAGTGAAGTATTATGTTACAAATGTTTAAAAGGGGCGCAATTTTACATTCATTTTGAACATTAATTTAATTTTTTTTCTGTAAAAATTGTACCACTAAAAATATTGCAATGTACCACAGTTTGAGAACCGGTTATATACAGCATTACAAAAGTCTTGAAATCTAGGTGTCTCAATTATTTCATCAAAAACAAATTTGCACCCATCTATGTGATGCAAGAATGTTCTTGTTATTTCACGAATCAAGTTCCTTTACAATTGTAAATTTATAGATCCACTGATCAAATACACGAGTTTGTGTTTCGGTGAGTCTATTTCAGTCTCGCAGGTTGTCTTTCCATCTT